TTGTTCTTTATAACCCTGATCAGCAACAACAAACAACAAACTTGTTTCTCTCAAATTTCTTTCTTTAAGCAACCAAGTAATTCTATACTTCTCACTGCTTCAAACTCAAATTACTGATCCAGAAATTATAATCTTTATGATTATTTTATCTTTCAAGAAAATGATAAATGTTGCTGCTCTGACTAGGCCTCATCCCTCTCTGTCCCCGAGTTTCCCTTCCTTTCTCTTTGTCTCTTTCTCTCCCTCCTCCCCTCATAGACACCACAATAATTGCAAACCCTGTTTTTTTTCTTTTCTTAATGCTATTATATCTTTTTTATATTCTTAAAAATTTTATATACATACATACTAATATTATTTCCTTTTATTCCTGCAAACTCTACCCATTTTTGAGATTTATACCATTTTTCCTTTTCTTCAGTGATTATTCCAGCAGACAATATTCTTTCTCTTCCATGCATCTTAGCATACTCCTACCTAGTATCTTATACTTTGTCTTCTTATTTATCAGTAGTTGATTCCTTCCTTTCCCTTTTCCTCAATGAGATACAATTTTTTGATGGAAGACATGAAAAATCTCCCTTCAATTCCTTGAATACTCTCTATAACCCTAATTGAGCTATAGATGGATACAAACAAATGTCACTTCACCAGGTAAAGTCAGAGTCTGGTTTCTATTCTACATCAACTCAGATGTAAATTGGTAGTGGTTTGTGCTTCTCCCTTTTTTTCATTTTTATTTATCCTGCCACATATTTCCAATATTTTTTTCCAAGGCCTCATTATTTTTCCCCTTACAATCTTACTGCAAAAGAAAAAAATATAATTGTATGTACCAATAACATGATGGGTAAATTTCCAAATAAGCATTCCTAAAAAATAAAAAAATGTGTAGGACTTTATTTTTACAAAATTATAGAAAGAGCAAAGAACTACATAGTTAGAAAGCTGAAGCATGGTTGCTTAGGGTAAGAGGAATTGGTGATGTTGGAAGCGAAAATGAGGTAATAGAAGTGGCTTTTGGGGTAATAGATTTTCTATCTGGATTGAGATAATAGATGTTTGCAATTTTTTATGTCAATAAATTGTTTTTTTTAAGCCCTCAGGTAGTCAAAAAGAAGCAAGAAGCAAACATAAAGTAGACTTCATTGTTGGGTGAGTTCTGGACTCTAGTTTTTAGGTATGACCACGAATCATGCCTTTTATAATTTCCTTTAAATCTTTTCTCCAATTAAATCTTTTCTCCTTTAAATCTTTTCTCCAATCTTTTCTGACACTTAAGAGGATAAGTGTCAAGAATTAGTGATAAAGTTGGTGATTTGTTGAAAAAAATTGAATGATGATATTTTGGATTTATGATAATTTTGTCGCAAACAAATCTCCATTAATTTCTGAATGTGGACATAATTTTTTAAGAGGAAAACCTTTTCTAAAACGTTTCTCTGAAACACATTTTCTTCTCTAACCAGAGATTTTCCAATATATAGCAAGCACACTAATCTTATGCAGCCTTAGGTCTTTAGTTTGGCAATGTTCATGGCCTTATTTATTTCATTCCTGGTTGCATGCCAAGTTCTGAGAACTAAGCCTAGCACATAAAATGAATCCAATTAATAGCAGTTGATTGAAGAATGAACTATTTCAAAGTCTCTAGAGGTTGGCAACCATGTGTTTTGCCTTAGTTGATTCTCACTTTCTACTTACAATAGTAACTAGGCATTTGATCTTTTAAATCTGAATTAATTCAAGTAAAACAAATTAAAAATTTATCTCCTCTCTCACACTGGCATGATTTCAGGTGTTAAGTAGCTACATTTGGCTACTGGTATCATACTAGAAAGTGCGCATGTATAATACTCATCACGGAAGGAGGTTTATTTGGCCAGGGTACAAAATCTTGAACATAGAAGCATTCATAAATGCTTAATTTAGAAGAATGAGAAGAAAAATGTGAGCCATAGGAGAAGGAGGAGGTAAGAAAGAATAAAACAGTATAGAAGCAGTTCTGATTCAAATTCAAAAATCAGTCTTCACTCTCAGCCTCTGTTCGACCATAGCCACTCCATCTCTGACAGCTCAGGCTTCTGGCCTAGGTTTGGGAGGGTGCAACTTGACAGCTTTGGTGTTCCTTTTCATCTCATGCCAATTCACACCTCTGCTGCTACATGGGGGTGGCTGCTAGAACATGTTTGGTACACAAGCATGTCCAACCAGAATGGCTGGATTGTTTCTACCCTCTGGGCCATTCACAATCTAAATAAAGCAAGGATTTAATTTATTAGTTATGACTGAGTGATGGCACAGTCCAGTGCCATGGAAAGAATTTATACTTGTGCTCCTACCCTGCAAGTGCTAGGGACTGAACCCAGGGATGCTCTACCACAGAGACACATTCCCAACCCTTTTTAATTTTTCCTTTGAGATAGGGTCTCTCAACATTGCCCAGACTGACCTCAAATTTGTAATCCTCCAGCCTCAGACTCCCAGGGAGCTGCAGGTGCTACTGCACCTGGCTAGAATTTCTACTTACATTTCCCTGAGGGGAAGGGAAGATGCCACACCACACAGGGCCACAGGGAAACATCAGGATGATCAGTAGGCAGATGACAGAAGTAAGAGAAGTCAGGCTAGAGCCTTTAATGGAGTTTCCATAAAAAAACGCGGAGCAGAGTGAAGAATTTAGGATTAGATGTTTTGAATAATTCTGGTAGCTTATCAAAGAAGATGTTCCTTACATGCTTGGTAGATGGCCTTGCAATGATTTAGGGCAAGGGAAATATTGGCTTGGTTTATGAGTATATATAACAAAGTGGGTGGGAATGGCCTTGGATTGGCCCGTTTGCACACAAAAGTCAGTTTGAGGCAGCAGTCCAACCCTTCGGGAATTACCTAGCCTTGGTTTGGGCACTGTCTCCCCAGGTCTGTGAGGCTGCCAAGAGAGCTATTATTAAAGAAGTCATTTTCTTATCAGACCTATCAACTATCTATCATCTACTCACCTAATTTTAATGTATACTATTTTAGTTCATTTAAAAGTAATTGTATAAAATACTGTAGCATAGCAAGAATATGTCATTATTTATTCAAAGATCAATTGTTAATAAGAATTCAATAAATTTGCATCAAATCATCTTTCCTATATAAACTTTAATATAGATGCTTTCATGCCTTTAAATTATGTTAGCAAAATGAAATGAAGAGTTCATGAAATTTATTTGCATATAAAGTTCAGTAAAAGACATAATTTTATTTATTTTTCCAAATAGTTAATCAATGGCCTCAATTGCATGCTTTAAATAATATTTTTTTCACTATTCTGAAGAGCCATATTTTTCACATTGTTTTTTTTTCTTGCAAATATAGAGAAAACTATTATTTAGGTTATTTCTTAATTTAGAAATTCTTTTTTAAAATTCTACTCCAATGAGCTAGTTATCTGTCCATCTTGGACACTACCCAGGGTTCATGTCTATAAAGACTGTGGAAGTACATTAAATTTAAATATCTGATTGGACATTATCCAGTTGTTTTTTTCATAAAATTTTTTGGCCATTCTTATACATAAAAGCCACCTTAGTAAATATATTAAAGTCCTCAGGTTATTTTGTCTCTATTATCGTTTTTCTACTCTTGCCCTTGGAGGATAAAAGAATAACTGAATATGCATAAGAGAATAAGCATGGTGTGTTCTAGTAAAAATTATTTATGAAAACAGGTGATTTTCTGGATTTGGCCCCAAGATTGCTCTCTTCTGATATAGATATAATGTACAACATATTGGGTAAGGATAATGTATTGATTCATATCACCCCTGTCCTTAAAGCTCTTAATCCTTTTCCATTTTCTTCATTAGATTATATTAGGGCTTTCATCATCTAATTCATTACTTACCTTGCTGAATTTATATAGATCAACTCCTGCATATATACTCAAACATAACAAAATACTTCTTGGACCCCATTGTAATTTTATATATTTACTTTACTATTATAATCATTTGTGCATATTAATGCACTTTTTTGCTGGAGTGTAATTCATATTTAGGAAGGAAAGAGAACTAGAATTTGTCTCTATTACTTGCAAGGCATTTTTAAATCATTATTTTATGTAATTTCACAGTTATTCTATGAAATATATATTTCTAGCTCTATTTTAAAGATGATGGAAAAAGTAGAGCCAAAAAATAAAAAATATTTAAGTGCTATTATCTGATATTCACACAGCAATATAAATTGTGTCATATGTAACAGGTAGGTATGAAAGTATCAGAACTCATAGGTCATTGTATTTAAATGGGTTTTGCCCTACAGTGTGTACTATGTTAGTTCTGACGAACAAAAGCAACACTTGAAAATTAAAAAAAAGAAAGTTATGATTCCACTGTTTTCCATTAGAAACCCATGCACATATATAATTTAAAATTTGAATTTAACTGTCATTAAAACATATATACATATGTATACTCTATCTTTATATAAAAGTACAAGAAATATTAAAACTTTCCTTGTTTAACATTTTGTCAAAAATCATTTACATGGTAAAAAAGTAAAATATGACCCTTATTTAAGAAATTAATCAATAAATAAAACTGATATTAGACTGAAAAATATGGTAGAATTAGCATACCAGGACAATAAGTCATTCATAAGTACCATCTACATAGTCAATAAGTCAAAAAGATATAAATGATTTCTAGAGATGAAAAATAAAATTCTATACATGAAAATCATAGTGTATTAAATGAAAATACATAAAACATCATAAATGCTTGATAGACACTGTTGAAATAAGGTGAATTTATTTGAAAACATAACAATAGAAACTATACAAAAGAAATAGAGAAAAGAATACTTTAGGGGGGATCCAAGATGGCAGGCTAGAGCTTGGCTGCATTTTTTGTTGCTCTGGAACCTGAGATTCAAGTAGTGGAAAACTGTTTCTCTGTGGGTTATTAGAGGACCCCTGACAGCTGCCCCTGCTCAGGACCCCCCACCACTTGCTCATGCAAGACTCCCTGGCATCAGTGCCCTTGCAGGACCCCAGACACCCTTCTGTGCAGGATCCCTGGTGGCCACTCCCATGTGGACCCCCATCTACCAACATGGGGATCCCCAAGTTGCTTCCATCTCTGGACACTGAAACTGCTGCCATGGTCCCTTCTATGTGGTAGCCTGCAGAGACTCCAGACTGGAGAGAGCCTTCTGCTTCACCATGCATGCCACAGAGCTATATCTCTGAATATGCCACCCAATGCCCACTCCCGATCCACTCTGAATGCCCATTCTGAAAGTAGCCTCCACCATCTTGGGAACCTTTGTCTCCATCTTGGGTTATCCTCACTACCACTATTGCCATATTTAATTGGGGCAACTCCCAACTTGAGACACCTGCTGGGGACTAGAAGCAATATCAAGATACCTATAGTCCCCCAACTGCCCCCTACCCTCGCCACTAACATTGCTCTCAGCTCCAGTTACAAAACAGCTCTCTGCAACAGATGTACAGGCCCCAGAGTGTAGCCTACAAGACCTCCAGAGAGAGAGTTTTCTGGTTGGGAAATAGAAAAGGAGGGGTGAGTGAGATACAGTTTAGAGTCTAAATTAGACACCAGGAATTGTGAGGTATACAGGCACTGAAAGGAGATAAAACCCACATCACACAAGTGGGCCCCAAAGGAGATTCTTGGGTTACAGTCTCCTAAAGGGGACCAGCAAGTGCTATACCTCTCATCCAAGTGTTTTGCCCCCAAAAGTAACCCTCCCACCCTAATAACCTTTACCATCCTGAGGGTGGAGATACCAGCAAACAGCAGACAACCCCACCTACTGGATGAGAAGGGAAGCAGAAAAGCTGAACTCCAATAGAAACAATCCTGTAATTTTCCACCAAGATTTTTTTTCTTTTCTTTTCTTTATTTTTACCTGTCTTCACATCCCCAACATTTGTGAAATCCAGTATTTTTCATGCATTAGGCTATTTAGGTCAGGGATGTTTGAATACTATATTACAGTTGTGTTGTATATTCTTTTATCTCTTATTTTTATATTTTTTCTTAATTTTTATGTTTGTTTTTTGTACTCTATTGTCTTCCCACTTACTTGTCTCCTCCAAATCTGAAAATTAAAGAATGATATAAGAAAGCAAACACAGGCAACAAAAGACCATTTTGAAAAAGAGCTACATAAGCAAATACAGGAAAGAAAAGATTACTTCAATAAGATAGAAAGTCTGAAAAAAACCAAAAACAAACAAACAAATAAACAACAACAACAAAACAAAAAACAAAAACATAAATCTTTGAAATAAAGGAAACCTTAAGCCAAATTAAAAACTCAATAGAAAGCATCAGCAAGGTTAAATCACTTGGAAGACAGAACCTCAAACAATGAAGACAAAATATATAATCTTGAAAATAAAGTCAACTACACAGTGAAGATGTAAGAAACCATGAGCAGAACATCCAAGAATTGTGAGATAACATGAAAAGATCAAATTTAAGAATTTTTGGGTTAGAGGAAGGCATAGAGTTACAAACAAAAGGAATAAACAACATATTCAATGAAATAATATAAGAAAAACTTCCAAAGCTGAAGAATGAATTGGGAAATCAAATACAAGACAGGACACCAAATCTACAAAATCATAACATATCTACACCAAGGCACATTATAATGAAAAAGCCTAGAATGAAGAGAGAATTTTAAAAGTCATAAGAGAAAGGAATCAGATTACATGTGTGTGTGGGGGAACCAATTAGGATTTCTGCAGATTTCTCAACCCAGAGCCTCCAAACTAGAAGATACTAGAACAACATATACCAACCTCTAAAAGAAAGTGGATGCTAATCAAGAGTCTTATATCAAGCAAAATTAAGTTTTAGATTTGATGACAAAATAAGAACCTTTCATGATGAACAAAACTTAAAATAATTTATAATTAGAAAGCTTGCACTACAGGAATTCTCAGCAAAATATTCCAGGAGGAGAAAATGAAAACCAAAAATGAAAATCAGCAAAGGGAGATATTACACTAAAGGAAAACCAATCAATGAAGAAATCAAGTTGAGTTAAAAACCAAAAATAAACAAAAATCACTGGGAATACAAACCATGTCTCAATAATAACTCTGAATGTTAATTGCCTAAACTTATCAATCAAAAGACACAGATTGGTAGATTGGATTAAAAAAGAAAAGACCCAACAGTATGCTGCCTACAAAAGACTTATAGGAAAAGACATCCACAGACTGAATTTCAAGAGTCAAATAGACCACAACACAATAATACCGGGTGACGTTAACATACCTCTTTCATCACTGGATAGATCTTCCAAACTAAACAAAGAATCTAGAACTCAATAATACAATCAACAATTTAGACTTAATAGACATGTATGAAATATTTCATCCACCAACAAGTGAATACACTTTCTTCTCTGCAGCACATGGATCCTTTTTTAAAATAGATGATATATTATGCTACAAAGCAACTCTTGGAAAATACAAAAAATAGAGATACTACCCTGCATTCTATCAAATCATAATGGAATAAAATAATAAAATAAAAATCAGAAGCTATGCCAATACCTGGAGACTAATCCTATCATCCTGATGCTCAAAACCAGACAAAGACACAAAGAAAGAAAACTTCAGACCAATATCTCTAATGAACATAGATACAAAAATTCTCAATAAAATTTGGCAAATTGAATATAAAACATATTAAAAAGAGAGTGCACCATGATCAAGTGGGGTTTATCTCAGGAATGCAAGGTTGGTTCACCATATGGAAATCCACAAAAGTAATTCATTACATCAATAGACTTAAAGGCAAGAATCATATGATTATCTCAATAGATGCAGAAAAAGCATTTGAGAAATACAGCACCACTTCATGTTCAAAACACTAGAAAAATAGGTATAATAGGAACATATCTCAACATTGTAAAAACTATCTATGATAAGCCCAAGGCCAACATCATTCTAAATGGAGAAAAATTGAAAGCATTCCCTCTAAACACTGGAGCAAGACAAGGAAGCCCTTTGGCACCACTTCTATTTAACATGGCTTTTGACACTCTAGTCAAAGCAATTAGACACACAAAAGAAATTGAAGGGATACAAATAAAAAAGAATGATTCAAACTATCACTATTGCCAATGACATGATCTATACTTAGAGGATCCAAATTATTCTATCAGAAAACTTCTAGAACTAAAAAATGAATTCAGCAAAGTTGCAGGATATAAAACCAACACCCATAAATCAAATGCATTTCTGTTTATCAGTTATGAATCCTCTGAAATAAAAATTAGGAAAACTACCTGATTTACAATAGCCTCAAATATATATATAAAACTTTTTTCTTTTTTTATTGGTTGTTCACAACATTACAAAGCACTTGACATATCATATTTCATACATTAGATTGAAGTGGGTTATGAACTCCCAATTTTACCCCAAATGCAGATTGCAGAATCACATCGGTTACACATCCACAATTTTACATAATGCCCTATTAGTAATTGTTATATTCTGCTACCTTTCCTATTATATATATAACTTGGGAATCAACTTAATGGTGAAGACCTCTACAATGAAAACTATAGAACACTAAAGAAAAAACATTGAAGAAGACCTTAAAGATGGAAAGATTTCCTTGTTTTTGGATAGGCAGAATTAATATTGTCACAATGACCATACTACCAAAAGCACTATATAGATATAATACAATTCCAACCAAAATCCCAACAACATTCCTCATAGAAATAGAAATAGCAATCATGAAATTAATCTGGAAAATAAGAGACCCAGAATAGCTAAAACAATCCTTAGCAAGAAGAGTGAAACAGGTGGCATCACTATACCAGACCTTAAACTATACTACAGAGCAATAGTAACAAAAATAACATGGTATTGGCAGCAAAATAGACTTGTAGACCAATGATACAGAATAGAGGACACAGAGAAAAATCCACATAAATACAGATATCTTATATTAGACAAAAGTGCCAAAAACATATATTGGAGAAAAGATAGCCTCTTCAACAAATGGTGCTGGAAAAACTGGAAATCCATATGCAACAAAATGAAATTAAGCCCTTATCCCTCAGCATGCTCAAAACTCAACTCAAAGTGGATCAAAGACCTAGGAATTAGACCTGAGACCTTGCACCTAATAGAAGGAAAACATACGCCCAAATCTTCATCATGTCAGATTAGGCCTCGACTTCCTTAACAAAACTCCTAAAGCACAAGAAATAAGATCAAGAATCAATAAATGGGATGGATTTAAACTGAAAACCTCATCAGCAAAATTGAAAATCAGTGAGGTGACTAGAGAGCTTACAGAATAAGAGCAAACTTTTACCACATGCACATTAGATACAACACTAATTTCTAGCATATATAAAGAACTCAAAAAACTAAACACCAAAAAAATGAATAACTCAGTCAATAAATGAACTAAAGACCTGAACAGACACTTCTCAGAAGAAGATTTACAATCGATCAACAAATATATGAAAGAAATGTTTAATATCTTTAGTTATTAGAGAAATGCAAATAAAAACTACTCTTAAGATTTTATCTCACTCCAGTCAGAATGGCAGTTATCAAGAATACAAGCAACAATAAGTGTTGGCAAGGATGTGGCAAAAAAGGTACAGTATACATTGCTGGTGGGACTGCAAATTGGTGCGACCAATCTGGAAAGCAAATGGAGATTCCTTAGAAAACTTGAAATGGAACCACCATATGACCCAGCTATTCTGCTCCCCAGTTTATACCCAAAGGACTGAAAAACAGCATACAACAGTGATGCAGCCACATCAATGTTTATAGCAACACAATTCACAATAGCTAAATTGTGGAACCAACCTAGATGTCTTTCAATAGATGAATGGATAAAGAAATATATATATTTTCACAAACACACATACAATGGAATATTACTCAGCATTAAAAGAGAATAAAATCATTGTATTTGCAGGTTAATGAATGGAATTGAAGAATTTCATGTTAAGTGAAGTAAGTCAATCCCCCCAAAACCAAAGACTGAATATTTTCTCTGTTAAGTGGATGTTGATCCACAATGGGGAGGAGGAACATGGGAGGAATGGAGGAACTTTGGATAGGGATAAGGGGAGGGAGGT